TTGTGCTCAGCTGGTTGTGAATGTGGTTGTTGTTTTCCATAGGAATTAAATTTATGCAACTCTACTTTAAATTCGATTTTCAAAAGCCATGAGCCAAATACTGAGAATACACAGTAGAAATGCATGCCGTGAATTATTAATATTATTATACTTAAGACATTTCATTATATATTAAATGGGCATACATATGTGTATGTATAATACCATTTCCTATTAATATTCTTCTAATCTGCTTAGAAAATATTCCATTGAATTGAATTACTGCGGCAATGCTGATTCTTTAACAAAATAATCGTTGGAGCTTTAATGGAATGCAATGAAACTTAGCAAAGTACATACATATATACATATGTATACTACCTGTTAGCTACTCTTTATCTTCTCATTCAATTTGTTGTAAAAAAAAAAAAAAGAAACAGAAGATAATCGGCTTAGCAAATTTTTCCAAGAAACCCACTAAACATCAATGATTCCTGCTGACGCAGCCAATTCACTACTGGGTAGCTCATTTCTTGCCGTTCTTTATCTATATCACTCTCTCGCTCTCTTCCTCTCTCTTTTCACTGCTTCTGCTGTGGCGGTGTGCGCTGCGCAAAAACTACACTGCGTTCTCGCTGCGGCGACGCGTCGGTCACACACACCGTCATACTCATGCTTGTTTGTGTGTCTCTTAGCGCACAGTGGACCCTTGCGGAGTATTGTCAGAAATAATGATATTAAAAATAAATTGCGTTTCCAATATGCTAGATATTAAAAATATCTGAGTTGCTCACACTTTTGATAAACAGCATACAAATTTAAATTGTTCGTTTTCATTAAAAAAATATATGAAAACAATAACAAATAGTAATTAACCACTGTGCGTCGATGTTTCAGCTTCGTTACGTTTTGCCGCTGGCAGCGCAGCAGCAGCACAGTGCTTTGTTATGCTRCCCGAACAAAAGCAACGTTGCCAAACTTCATTGTTTGGTTGACTGCCAGTGTATGTATATAGCATGTATATACATACAAAGATATACGTATGTATGTTTGTCTGCTTATATCAGTGTGTGCGTGTGTTTTATATCAGAAATTTCCATTTAATTTTTTATTTAGGTTTCTTTTTCGTTTTGCAACGTTGTTGTAGCTGTTTTATGTGTAGATACATACATATGTACATATATACATACGTGTGCGTTTATATATGTATAATTTGTATATGCACACACATGTATTCATGCATATTTGTATGTAGAGATGTAGCTTTTGCTTTTGTGTGAGATTGTATTTTGGTTACACTTTCAGCTGCCGATTTGATTCCATGGTTTTTGGGAAGCGCATACGTCACACATACATGTGTACAAAGGTTTGTGCGTATGTGTGTATGCCATTCAATCCAGAAGCAGTGGGAGACGAGCTAGAGCTTCTGCCAACGCTTGGGCCCTGACGTTGATGCAGCATAGGCCTGCAAATTGCCAGGAAATCTCTGTTGAGGGTTGTTTTGGTTTTTGTTGTCGATTTTATTATTGCTTTTTTCTCTTTCTTCTTCTACGTATACATATGAGAATGCGCTGTGCGTGTGTGGCTGTGTATGTGTATGTGAGTGTGTGCTCAGTCGCATTCGCAGCCACAGGTGTTGTCGATGTCGACGTTGGGTTTCGCCATACATACATACGTCAAGTTCAGCTCTCCCAAATACTTCACACCTTTGTGCAAATTATTTCGTCGTCAATATGACAAAAAGTTAACCTCAAAATGTTGTGCGCCGCCTGTTGAGCGTGACTCAGTCGCGAACGATGGCAACGGCGACAGCGACGTCAGCACCGACAAAAGCGGAGCCGACAAATTTTTTATTTAAACAAATGCAGCAACAACAACAACTGAGCTTAATGAAAAAGTTATGCGAGTATAAGCTTTCGTTTTTATTTATGTATGAATTTATATACAGATACAGATACATCCATATGTATATACATACATATGTTTGTGTGTGTGTGTGTGTGTGTGTGTAATTTGTATTTGCGTGCATGTGCGTGCGTCTCTTTTTGTGTATATGTATGTGTGTGTGCTCTCAAACAAACTTTGCTCCCTACACTTGACCTTGTTTTGCCATTTTCATTTTGTGCCATGCACCCCACCACTCATACACACACACGCTTACAGATGGGCTGGCTGATTGCGGTTGATTGTGGCCTAGGCAGAGGCGGGGCAGCATCAGCAACTTTGTATGACAAAGCAAAAGCTAAGACCACGCTGAGCCAACACAGTAATTTGCCTAAAATTGTGCGCCGGCTTAAATGCCGGCAACAACAACAACAAAGAAGCGAGCAAAAAATAAAACCAGAAACACAAAGCAAACGCAAACAACAACAATACAAGAAGCAAGAAAGAAAAGAAAAACAAGAAAAAAGAAAAAGAAAAAATAAGAATCAGTGAAGGGCGAAGACGTGGAAGACGTAGACGCAGACAGCGGCAATAAAAATGCAGAGCAAGGCGAAATGAACACAGGAAGGACAGGGCAACAAAGTTATTTTAATGACCTGCTGTTGTGTTGGTGTGCGCGGGAGGGGGAGGGACAGGAGACAGAGCAGGGCACAAAGTCGAACGGCGACGGGCAAAGCCGCAACAGTAAAAATGGCAAGCAAAGGGAAATTAAAGACCATGACAACAACAAGCGGCTATGGGCATCGGGGAGCGGGCAACGGGATGGCGAAAAACTTAAAAGAGAATTGCTAATGCCAAACAGCAACAGCAACAACAACAACAGCAGCAAGCGCGGACTGGCAAAGAAAGACATAAAACTTTTATTTATACATGCATGCATACATACATGTATATACATGTATGTACATATATATTAACATATGTACATATGTATGTGTGTATTTCTGCGCGCACATGCGAGCAAAAGAATAAGGAAAGTGGCCAAATAACAATAAGACAAAAAAACAAATACAACAAACAAAGAATATCAGCAGCAGAAAAATGCATGGACTAGCTGTTAGCTAGCGGGTGGATGAGATGAGGGATGGGATGGGATGGTATGTGGGAGCAAAACGGACAATGCAACTGAAATTCTATCGATAGCAACTCCCGATAATTGAATACACAATTGAAAGCTTTTCAATGGAATTATTGATGTGGCAAGATAATTGTCTAGATATTCTATACGCAGCACACATTAATACACACATACATACATACATATGTATGTTTAACTGTAACTCTAAAAGCGTATGTATGTATGTATGTACATGTTTACACTATAGCAAAAGCTTGTTGCATACTAATTTCATTGTCAATAATTGAAAGATTGAACTAACGGTTAGTTAATATACAAACATACATACATATACGCATATGTAAGTTTTTGCATGTACATACATACATACATTCATATGTACGTATTTACGTTTACAGAGATTTAAAAGCAATAACTAAATAAATTCATATGTATGTATGTATGTCCATGTACATACATACATACAAAATTTGCAGAAGTTACTTAAAGATTGCCTGAATGAAAGCTCTGCACTAATCTAAGATGTGCCTTAGGTACACACATACATACACACATAGATACACACATACAAATGTATATAGAACAGATATTCCAGCCTTTAAAAATATTATGGAAAGTTTTGGCAATGCAGTGGGCACTCCTTGGAGCCGCCAGCAAATGAAACCTGTAACAAAGCTGATAAAGAAAGAAAAAGAAAAGAAAAGGAAAACAAAGCCTGCCATGCTTTGGGCGCTCTTCTGCTGCTGCTTCTACACAAATACATACATACATATACAAAGTTCTATTTCTGCACCTACTTCTTTTTCTTCTTCTTCGCCATCCTCTGCTTCTTGCTGCTGGAAAAGACAGACAGATGGTATTAAATGCGGCGTGTTGTTGTCTAGCTGAATGTAAAGCTTAAGCTCAAGCTGACTCAGATTCAGATGACTATCCCAATTCCAAGGCAGATGTCCTATACACAAGCAAGCGCACACACATACATATATGCACAGATACACACGAATGCATGTATGTATGTGTTTAAGTGTAGGTGCCTAGGGGTTAGAGTTGAGAGAGACTCGGCATAACGGACCCCAACGGCAATGGCAGCAAATTAAAGTTACTAAAGCAAGAAAAATACAAAAAGCAAAAAGAAAAAAATGTATACAAAAAAGAGATAAAAATAAAATACAAAATAACAAGAACAAGAAAAACGAGCGAAATTTCTTGCACAGTGTGGAAGCATAGTCGCAGCGGCGCGCAGAGACTGTGCCAAAGCACAGCGACATGGAACAAGAACAAAACAAGAACAAGATAGACAAGAACAAAAACAAGAACAGCAACAGCAATAAGAATATCGAGAAGCATGGCTTAGTCGGTGGTTGTCGTTGTTGCTTTTGCCTAGCCACTGTTAAGAGGCAGGGGCAGGGGCAGGGGCAGTGGTCGCACATCAGGAGTTGCTGCAAGTGCGACAGAGATGACAGAGCTGAGCTGCCTGCTCGCAAATCTAAAATGATTAAAAACCGGTTCGCGGACTATACGGTTCTTTTTATTTTCTTTTGCATTTGAGACAAAGCTTAGGCTTTGACCAGCCGACAAAAATGTCGCAATCTGTTTGAAATGTTAATTATGAAAAGCAAAGCAACAATTTAATGTAATACCAAGGCTCAAACTTTAGAATTAAACATCCTTTGTTGTTGTATGACTAAAACTCTGCCGTTTATTTTGTAACATTTTGGTTACATGTACATATGTATAATTGATTAGAAGTCGAAATTGCAATCAGAAGTATCACAGAACTAATAGTGAGTTCATTAATTTTCTTTCTTGTTACGTTAAGGTTTTCTTGTGTAAAAATATACAATTGCAATAATTTTGTGTGCCCATTATGTGAATTTTATGTCGTTCATACTCGGTCAAGATTTCAAATTGATGGCTTGAAATATTTGTCGTTGCAATTAAATTAGCTATTTTATATATTATTTGAATTTATGTTATTAGTCTCATATTATCTTAATATGTATGTAGGTATTATAAATCATTTGTACCAATATTTTTGGAACATCATTTCGGACACTTTTCTCGCCTGAGCATTGTCGCGCAATTGCTTTTGCTTTTATTCAGTTGTCGCCGTCGCCGCTCTAATTGGCGCGTTATGACTGAAGCCAGTGTCACACACAAGCACTTCTTGTATTGTTTTGTGCTCTTTTCACCTCACTCCGTCTCTCTCTCACTCCCACGCTCCATCTATCTCTATCTCTATCTCTCATTGCACTATTTGAAATTATCCCCAGAAAAGAGATCGCCGCCAGTGCCGTTGGGCAGGAAGCGGGCGTCGAGAGAGAGCCGATTCATGCGCCCGAAGACCAGCACCTCGCTGATGATGCGCTCGGCGAAGAGACGCTGATCGGGTCGCATGTTTCGGAAATGCGCCGCCATACGCTTGCCAATCAAATCGCATTCGCTCTCCGTGTGCTCGATGCTGCGCTCCATCATCATTTGGCGGCGTTTTTTGCTGACCGTTGCTGTGCTCTCTCCACCATAGTCGCCGTCATCGTCGGTGCTGTGCTGACGTCGACGCATGCTGCGGCGCGACTGCGACTGCTGCTGCTGCTGCTGTGGCTGCAATCGTACTGTGGCATAAGGATGCGGATGCACATGTTTTCCGGCACCGCTGATGCTGTTGTTGTTATTCTGGTTGTGGCTGTTGGTGTTGTTATTGGAGTTGTTGTTGTTGTTGTTGCCGCTATGGGAATGTTGCTGATATTTGCTTTCCATTTTTGGATCGCATTTGTGACGTGCCTCGCTTAGCGTTCCATGCTTGACGCCATTCTCCACGTCCTCTGCTTCCAGTACGTTATCAACGTCACCGTCGCCGTCGCCGTTGCCATCCCCATCGCCATCGTCGTCACCTTCAATATCGCCCTCAGCGTCGGCCTCGCCCTCGATGACCAACATGTCCTCCTCGGGCGGAAAGGGCTCGGCGAAAATGTCCTCGTCCTGCAAAGAGTCATCGAAATAGCCAAAAATAAACTTGGAAACGCTTAACGCTAAGTCGACTAACAAATACCCTGTAATAAGTCAAACGACTTCGCTAAGAACTTTACTTAAAGCGTATTTTCAGTTAAATATGTATCTATTTTCCAAATAACCCCCTCTCTCTACTTATCTATTTATACATATATAAAATACCCTTATTTCATGTGAGTCAACGAGCAAATACCCCTTGAAAAGTTTAGCTTATGCAAAATTCTTATATACGACGTGAGTTAAGCATACTTCGTACAGGGTATTTCTCTTTGCCAAATGAATTCTCCCCTTTCCCCCCCCCCCCTCTTGTTCTCTATAAAATACCCTGAATTTTGTTGCGTGTGTCCCACTCACTGGCTCCTGCTCTTCCAGGGACACTTCCACCACATTTTCATTGTAGGCATCTTTTAGGTACTCCGGTTCGGATTCCTGTTCCGGTTCGGGTTTCGAATCCGGTTCATGTTCAGGCTCCGCATCAATCAGCGTCTGCGCCTCGCCCGTCTCCTGGTCGTAGAGGAACTCCAGCTCATTGAAGTACCACAGGGACGGCACATACTCCTCGCCGCTATAAGCCCCATTGGCCCTGCTCTCGAGCACCTTGCGCAGCTCGCGCCGGTAGGAGGTGCGCAGATTGTTGATTTTTCGCTTCACCATGTGGATGTTGGCGTACGGGTCGTTGGTGCGCATGTGGCGCAGGAGCCGGTCGTACGAGTGCGCCTTCAGCTTACGGTTGCGATAATCTTTCGAATTGGTCAGCCACAGCTCCGGCATGGAGCGATAGAGTCGAAAGAATTCTTTCCAAAATTCCGTATTGCGCACGTGATGCGAGTCCATAGCAAGCAATTATTGAACTGTCGTCCAACGCGGTCGTACGACACAAGCGATGGCAGCGCTCGTCGTCCAACCCACACGACATGCAACCCGAACGTACCCATACAAAGAGAGCGAGAGAGACAGACGGAAAAACAGAAACAAACAAGCACACACACACACGCACATGCATACATCGATACACACACATACACACAAGCGCACGAGCTGTTGCCTCCTCTCTCTCACTCTCTCTCCTCCAGCCCCCTCGGTCTATTCGCTTTCCCACGCGCTATCTGCATCTCGCTCTTACACTTACATGCATGCTCGCCTCATCGAGGCTATCGTCCAAGCCTTTGATCTCGTGCTTAATGCGCGCTGTCGTCTCAAAGTTCAGATTGAGCACCGGCTTAAGGAAGTCCATCAGATGGAACCACCACAAGCGCGGCTCGTAGCCATTGTATGACGATTGAATTTTGCGTATTTCGCGCCTATAGCAGCAGCGCAGCGAATTGATTTTCCGCTTCACATCCTGCACGCTGGCCTCACGATTGACACGTCGCAGGATTTTCAACAGCTCCTGATAGCCGGGCGCCTTCTTCTTCTTCGACAGATAATCGATGGACGTGTTGTCCCACAGTGCGGTGAAGTGGCGGTAGCAGCTGATGAACTCCTCCATCACCTCCTTTTCGTCATACAAATTGGGCGTCGTCATTTGTCTATCTCTCTGTGTTTGTTTGCTTCCTTGCTTGCTTGTTTGTTTGTGTGTGTGCGTGCGTGTGTGTGTGTGTGTGTGTGTGTGCTGCCTGCTGCTGCAATGGCTTCGCTCCAACTGAAAACTGAATGATTGTGACTGAGCGAGAGTGTCATGCAAATACAACGTGTATGAACGAATGGTCGTTCGGTATGATGCTGTTGTTGTAGTTGTTGTTGGTGCCGTCGACGGCATTGCTGTTCATTCCCTTCTACCTTCTCCTCATCATCATCATCATTATTTTCATTATCATTATTTTCATATTTTTGCTGGTGCCTTTTAAAGCGGGCAACGACAACGACAACGACAACAACAACAACAACAACGACAACGGCAACGTCGCCATCGTCGTCATTGCGTCTCTGCTTCTGTTTCTTGGCATTGCCTTTTAATCATTGCTTTTACCATTTGCCTTTTATTTATTTATGTTATAAACAGCAACGTTGGTCATGCGGCAGCAGTCTCAGTCGACGCTGGCGGCAGCGTTAGTGGCAGCGTCGGCATCGGAGTCACCGCAGTCGCACAAGTGTATGGGCGAGCGCAACGTTGCCGCACTTCACCAGTTCGAGCCAGCTGTTGAAAAATGGCAACGTTACGGCGTTGAGAGATATGTTATGTTGCATGACAGCAATGAGGCCAACGCGAGCCGGCCGTGTGTATTGCACAAACGTAAAAAAAAACAACAACGACTATAGCAACAACAATGGCAACAACAACAACAATTGTAGCATCAGCAGGCAGCCGCCTAATAATAATAATAGCAACAACAAAACAATATTAATAGACCTGAAACATTAGCGCGCGCACAGAAACAAGCAGGCCAGCAATACAAATTTCAAATATTTGTTCGCATCGAGCATCGAACATCTAACATCGAACATCGAGCATCGAACACGCGTGCTGCAGCCGTTCTGCAGGTTGTGTCGCAGTCGCATTGGCTGCAGTTGTGTTTGTGTTTCACTTTCACTGCGCAAAATTGGCAAAAACGATGCGAAACAAAATCAAAGCGGAAAATACAAACGATTTGACAGTCTGCGTCAGTCAGCGTCAGTCAGAGTTGCATGCAGCGAACGCGACAAAAGTGTGAACACTGCCAGGCTGCAAATTGTGCCAAGCTTGTCACTTGTGAGCATGCGGCCATGTTTGTTACATGCATACATACATATGTATGTACATATGTATATGACTAGATTGTAATGTATGTATGTGCATATGTTTATTATTATATCTGATGTAATGTCATGGCGCATTGAGGGGGCCTTTTCAATTGAATGTAATTCGGCTATTGTTATTAAATTTTGAACAAATCAACATTCCTTCTATCCGTATAACTATGCCCAATATTTTGGCGCCTGACTGTTGTCTGTTCGCTAAGCCATTCTTTGACTGCTGTCGCGTACATCGCCGGCTTCGAACTGTGTATGCTCAAACGGTTCGAGTTCGATGTCGGATGTTCGATTCACAGCAGTCTTTGCCGACCCAACATCGGATTCAACATCGGCAGCAGCACCAGCAGCGGCGTCGTCGCCGTTATAGTCGTTATAGATGTAGATGTGTTGTTCAACTCCTGAAAACTCGGGTGTGTGCAGCGCGTGCAGATCATGTAAAAAAAATTATAAGACGGTTTGCAAATACGTTGCGAATTTATCTATAAGAAGTTTACGATAAAAATTATGAAAATCGTCGCTATAAAACAAAACCAACAACAAGGTAAACGTGCAACGCAATTAAATTGCCAACAATAACGGAATGAAAAAAATAAAATAAAATAAAATAATTAAATCCGAATCAAATAAACCAAACGAGAGCCGCCCATACAAAAAATAAAATAAAAATAAAATCAAAATGAAAAAGAAGCAAAGAAGAAGAAAAATTCAAATTAAATCAAATCCAAACTAAAAGAAAAAATGTAAAAATTTTGTGCTTTTGTGTCGCCTACACATATATAACAGTATTTTTATATATGTGCATGTATATACACATAAATATATAACATGTACATATGTATGCATATGTGTATTTTTATTGCTGTGCCTGTCTGTATGCGTTGTGAGCTTGCGAGTATGTGTGTGTGCGTATATATATATTATATTATATACAAATGTATATGTATGTAGGCAAAATGGATATGAAAATAACAACTCATTGGAAAATTGCGTCGCGTTTTACTGCCCCCACGCTACGTTGCCGTTGCCTGAATGTGTATGTACGTATGTGTGTATGCATACATACATATGCATATATAACTTTTTTTTTCGCTGTGCCCAAATGCAATGCTGATCTATGCGCGAATATTAAAGTGAGAAGGGTCGCAAATAAAAACGCAGCGCAAATTGTTGGTTTTTTTTTTCATTTTTTTTTTTTTACTTCTGTGTGTGCCTGTGTATTGTGCGCTCGCTYACTCGCTCGCTTTGTCTCTCGCTCTTACGCATTGACAGTGTATTCTGTTTTGTGCGTGTATGTGTGTGTGTGTCGTTGCTGCTGCTGCTGCTGACGTCGTCTGCGTTCCAATTCTAATTTTTTTCAATTTTTTTTCCTTTGCTTTTGTGTGTACTTTTTTAAAGTGGCATAGATTGTATTTTTTTTTATATAATAAATTGAAATTGTTTTTTATGCACAGCTGGGCCAGTTGAGCGGCTTGTGTGCGTGTGCATGTGTGTGTGTAAAAGAAAAATGTAAATGGAAGTGTGGCATAAAAAGCGCCAAAGGCGTATCAAAGCCAAGCCACACACACACACACATCCACAGGCACACACACGCATTGTCCATGTGTGCAATTTGCTTAAAATATTTTTTGTATTTATTTTTGCGGCACCGCCCTGCAAAAGTTTTTGGCTAACGGACAAACGGCCCGACCCCGCCCCCGCCCCCTCGCTCGTTCGCTCTACACACACACAAACACACACACACAAAACACATATCTATCCATACATATGTATACACATATATGCATATACACATACATATGTGGCCACACATACACACACATGCTTATATCATATGTGTATGCATAATTTTATAAATTTTTCTTCTTCTTCTGCCATACATATATATTTTTGTTTTGTTTGCCTGATCGCAAATCGAATTTTTTTATACATTTTTTTTCTGGAAACAAAGAAAAATCAATAACAAATCAAATATAAGAAATAATATCAATGTCAATATGTATATACATAGATGTATGTATGTATATAAATAATTAAAAACCCGTCGCTCGTTTTTTTCGTGTTGTTTTTATGTGTGCGTTTTTTTGTCCAAAAATTTTCCAAGAATCGTTTCGAGATTAAAAATGTAAATTCGAAAATTAAACAAATTAAATAATCGAGTTCGAGTTCGAGTTGGATTTCGAGYTCGAAAAAGTAACGCGTTAGAGGAATGTTAAGAGAAATAACACACAGATTATAAACCTGAATTGTATATATAATATAAATCGTATACTCATATATATGTATCTATATACTGTATATACTTCATATATGTATGTATATGTATATGTATATCTGTGTATGCTAATGGGAATGTAATAAATATTTCCATTCGTAAACCACCTGGCAACGCCGATCGATAGAGCCACCGGCTTTTGGATTCGTAGACCCAACAACATTTTCAATGGTAAGTTTACAAAAATAGAAGACACAATGTTATAACAAATTAAATAAAACACTAAAGATATGTATGTAAATAGGGTTATCAATAAGTTAGTGGAATTGAATCTAAATACGTATATAATGAAAATAATAAATATATGTTCAAAGTCCGTCAGTCTGAGAGACATTCTCAGTAACGCGATTCTCATGAAAGAATGAAATCGACTCGATTCAAGCTGATATTTATTGTTATAGAATTACAGTTACCTAAGCTAACTACATATCTATATAGTCTGATCTATTTACTTAGCAAATACTTGGATGTGTAATAGGATAGCTCGTAGTTCTGTAGAAGAAAAACTTTGCCATATGCATTCGACTTTCCACTCCATGATATGATATCCAGCTATAAGTGGAATTTTAATAATAATAAATAAAGTCTATATATAGCGAAAACATATTTTATTGATAGTTTCTAGAAAATATATGCTCCATATGTGTTACATTTCTATGTATATATGGCTTAGGTAATTCCAGGTTAAAAATAAAAATAGAAAGAGAATGATTTTTATATATATTAAATATATATGACATTATTCTATGCATAAAATCATCTAATAGACTACAGTAATATCTGAAACATACATATATCATATATTGGGATTTGATTTACAGAAAAATTCAGCAATTTCAGGCCTAAACTTGGGCAATATGGGTTTTCTCACGCTCCTAATAGGCGGAGATATATAATTTTTGGTATAATCTCAGAAG